AAGTTCTCGGTGGTGGTGGTGGGAGAGGGGGTGATAGACGTAGCTTTTCCTTAGTTTACACATATCCCAGGAGAAATTTGATAAGTCAGCCTGCTTCAAGGCCAAACTGGGGAGTCAGATTCAGATAAGTCACAACTGTTGATTTTTTTTCAGGCAGACTGTTTTTTTCTTGTCAGCCTTGAGTCCTGCTGGTACTTACAAGATCCGCTTTGTTGAAAAGATTTTGTCGATTGCGTTAAAAGTCCAGCTGACCAGATCCAATAGGAGCTCCAATACACAGACAGAGAGCAAAAAAAAAAAGGCAGGAGGAGAAAAGGAGAGAGAGAGAAAAGGCCTTGCAGAGTGCAGAAGCTGTAAGACATCCACACCTGCCTCCACCATAATTTGCCACATTCTGGGTACTTGAGTAAGGCCTGCTTCATCTGCTCCCCTAGAAGACAGCCCTCTGCTCCACACATGCATGTTACGGTAGCTCGGTGGTCAGTGGTTGCATAAGGAAGGACACCCTGCTTAAAAACAGTTGCCGGTTCTTTTCACTTGCTGTGGAGACCCCTGAGAGAAGGGTTCCTTTTGCTCAGTTTCTCAGAACTTGCGAAGCTCAGGGCAAGAATTGCGAAAGCTCCTCAAATGAGACAAAATTTTTAAAAAGATGAATAAAAAAATTCAGAGGCCTTTGATTTATATTGAGCTCTACACAGATATTTAGACCCTTGGACAGATTCAAAATTTTAAAAAAAATTCCATGGATTAACTTTGGACCTCAAGAACAGTTATGTAGTCCAGAAAGCCACATCTGAACAACCTTCTATCATCTTTATTTTCACTGTTAATCATTTGTTCTGTTCCAGTGGGTAATTAAACACCTCTCATGTCTAAATTGTAAGAGCGATCAATCATTTGAAGCTCTGAGTCATGCAGCACGTAGGAAGTGTTTCTCCTATGGTTACTGGCCTTCAGTGACTCAACTGGTGTCTCTGGAAACTGGCTGTCCGCCTCTGCACAGCTGTCCTCCTTCTAATGAGACACTGGTGCAAAGCTTGACACTTCTCATGCAGGCAGAAAGTCCCTCAAAAGAAGGATTAGATCTGCCTCCCGAGACACTTTTCATTTCTTTTTCAGTTTAACTCTTCAGTCAAAAACCTTGTTGTGAAGGTTTGGGGCATGTCTGTCAGTTTAGATCTATTTTAGTTGTTGCAGATGCGAAGAAAAAAAAATGGTTGTAAAAACTAAATTGTATTTGTTATTTTTACTTTATTCTGAATGAGAAGATGGAACATTTTGAATATTGGGAATGTCAAAGCATCTTGACAACAAAACACGACTTGGTTATGAAGGCCAGAAACTTTAAGGACAGCAGAGTTAGTGCTGACAAGGAAGGATCAGATTGCAGGATACTTCTGTACTACTCCACATAATTTTTAAATATTA